ATTGATTTACTTCTTATATAACTATGATATCTACCAATTATTTCGAACATATTACCTCTAATATATGTTTTATGATATACTAATATATGAAATAATTTTTTTTCAGATAAAAGCAATGGTACAAACACAAAAAATGAAATAAAAAAACATTGTCGAAAATGTTGATGTCGTTCGTCCCAAAAGACAACATAAACCAACGCCAAAAGTGTTGTCTTTGGAAAAATGAAAAGCTTCAAAGATAGTATTTCCGAAAACGCGACAATCACTAAGAACGAAGATTGATGTTTCAAGCTTTTACCTAAAGATTATACAAGAATGAAACTTACGCTTTTCTAGACTGTTGGAACTTATGCTTATGGAACTTATGCTTCTTGTTTTATAGAATTTTAAGAATGACATTGTTAGTCTACTTTTGGTTTATGCTACTGGTTCGTTTTGATGTTTAAACCTTTAAGTTTTTGGTTGAAGGACTTTGCTGCTGATTTGATATTGATGTTGATACCCAAGAATGACATTTAAACCTTTTAAGAATGACATTGTTGCTGCTTTCATTTTGATCTTTAAAACTTTAAATAAAACTTAATTGTACTATTGATATATGTACAATGTATACTTGATATATCATGATATATTATTGATAAACAGAAAAACTCTAAGTTTCTATTTACCTCTAATTTCTAATTGATTTTTCATTCACAGTAATTTCGAAAGTCACCATTGACATTCACATGCAGGTTCCTTTTCAAGTTTTCTTTCTCATTTTCAGTAAGTATCAAATTTTTCTTTCATTTTCCATGCATGCCAATACCTACTAATTTCTAATTGATCAAAAAAAATACAAGACAAAGGGTTAAAGTAGGTAAAATAGTGATTTTACTATTATACAACTGATATAGAACTGATTAACTTTTGATATACTATTGATTTACTTCTGATATCCTAATGTTGTCAGATATACTCCTGATATATATGTGATATATGTTTGATATATAATAACGAAGCGATAACTGAAAAGGGTAATTTGGAAATATTGAAAATTTTAAAATCAGGATTTTCAAAAAAATGCTATATCTGAAAATATAAAAAATGCATGCTATTTTGTTAAATATAGAAAACTTATATGCTGCCCATTACAAATCCCCAAAAAATTATGATGATTGGTTGACTTATTTACTGATTTAAATCTAGTATCAAGTTTCATACTTATTTTGGTTTTGGTTTGATGTATAAATTTTAAATTTTGTAGTTTTACATTAAAAAAATTCATTTTTTTTCAAAAATTATTTAATAGAGACTCAAACTTAGTGTAAACCACGTAAAAAAAACACAATTATGTTATATTTAAAAAAAAAAGTTTAACATTTTTTAAAATATATATTAAATCTATGCTATAATTAAAATTTATCATTTTCCTTTAACAAAGAAAAAGTTAAATTTCTCATTTTAAAACCAACTTAGATTCATATGAAATAAAGATTATTAACAAAAAAAATGGAAAAGATAACTTATAAAATATGGATAAATGAATATGAAATGTGAACCCTAAATCCTGAATATTACAACAGTATTGCAAATATAATTTATAAAATAGTTGTAATTAACTATCATAGGATGGTTCAAGTGGTCAATAAAGAACAATGTAAAGTAAAAAACTTAGAGGTGAATGAATTCAAACCATGGTGGCTACCTAGTAATAGAGTCAGGCGGTTGGTCCGTGAATAATCGAGGTGCGCACTGACTGACACAAACACACAGATATAAAAAAAAATAGTTGTAATTAAAAAAATCAAACATTAATACGATGGAACTTAATCAATAATAGAACAATAACTATTTTTTTTTATTTAAGAAAAAAAAAGATACACGACTCCACTACTATGGACATGGATAGGGTAGTGTGGAACTTAGTACAAAGATATTTATGACATTTTTGAAAGGGAACATATGCATAAAGGCTTGAGCCTTTTTTTTATCTCAAAAAGAATAAACAATAATAATAAATAAAGGCCTGATTTTAGACTTGTTTGGTAACGTTCTCGTTTCTTATAAACAAAAAAGTTACTAAACGAACCCTTAATCTTTGAAAGGTCATTCGTTTTTATTTCCTCGTTCCATCCAACATATATATATAAACTAACATAGTTTAATGGGTTAAGTCATTATTTACTTTTTTGAATGTCATAGTTCAAATTCCCTATTTTTTATTATATTATAAAATAAATAAATAAAATATGTTGGGAGAGGTGATTCAAACTCATAAACTCTTGGTTGGAAGTATATGTCAATTATCGCTAAACTGTGCTTGTTTTGACGATGTCTTGTTATATATTTTCATTAAAATTTTTGAATATCCAACTATAATATTGACCTTTTGATAAGATGCCAACAAAATTAATTCATATATGATTTATATTTAAATTACTTTTGTTCTCTCTACTATCCATTTGAAAAGAGTTTAACTGGGTAAAATTTTAGTTACTTTTTTTTAATTAATTAAAATTCAAAACTCAAAAGGTTGTATAAATTATACAAAACATTATTTCATCTTTATTTAAAACAATTAATTTTGTAAGAAGAAAGAACTAAAGAGACCGCTTCCGAATATTTTTAATTTTTAATTTTATTTTTGTTTTCTATTTTGAACAAAATCATATTTAGTTATATTTCCTATATTAGTTCCTTACTTTCTCTTTTTTATTTAATTATAAAAAGAATGAAAGATCATTTTTCTCTCTAATCTTCTTTGAAATAAAATATTCAAAATTTATTACGTATTTTAAAATATTATTTTATATTATTAAACATGTTATAAGTAAAAATAAAATTATCTAAAAAAAGTAAAAATAAAATAAGAATGAAATAACACTTCTATTAATATTTATAAAAATTTAGAAATATAAAGGCTGTTTGGTAACGTTTTCGTTTCTTTTTTTGTTCTAATTTCTCATTTTTTGAAAAAGAGACATGTTTGATAACTCATCATTTTCTTCGTTTTTAAAACGAAAATAGGGGAGATTTATCTTTTTATTTTTTTTGGAAAAAAAAACTCATTCTTATACCCATAACTCAAGTTGCTTGTGCTCGAAGTCGAAGCTATTGGTTGTGCTATCTCCTCAAAATTGCAGCCATCAACTGTGATTTCGATTTGACGAGACTTCCAATTCAGCCCGTGCATGCAATTTTGAGTTTATTTGACGTATTGGTTGCCAATATTTCAAAAGTTGTTGGACTTGCAGTGGCTGGCAAATACATTAATAACTTCGGGTTCTTGATTTGATTCTCACCCTCTCCTTTCTTTATTTTGATTTTGATTTTCAATGAAGTATTTTTTATTTAAACTTCTTTAATTAACTTCGGGACTAGAAACTTTCCAGTGATGAGTTCGTTAGTCATTAACTCTCCTTACTTGAATTCAATTCTCTGTCGTAATTTTTTACAACACCTAACCTATTTATCTCAATAGTTTAGATGTCTAACTTAATTTTATAATTTTTTATTTAAATTACATTTATTTTGTTATTAGTTTTAAATCTACATTATTTTTTAATTTGTTGTTTAACTTACATTAGTTTTAAACTTAACTAGTCTGTTCCTCTTTTTTTTTTAATACTTTCTATTTTTTATAAAATATTTTCTCTTTTTTAATTAAAATTTTTTGAAAATTTATTCTTTATTTATGTCTAATTATAAAGAAATATATATTGTAAATTATATTTTCTTTAATATATTTTTTATTTTTAATAAAAATATATAATTTTTAAATTAAGAATATTTTGAGAATGTATTTTTTTATTTAAGTCTAATCATTTAGACTACTATATCAAAGAAATATATACGTGGTAAATTATATTTTCTTTGATGAAATATATTTCTTGAGTATATGTTATAACTTATTATATTATATTTACTAAATTATATTTTAACTAAAAATTAAAAAAACATAACTCAAAAAAAAAATTAAAAAAACAAATATTTGTTTAGGTATATATACTGATCAATATGTCATGGGTTCAAATCTCACTCTTACAAGAAGTTGTATTAAAAACAAAAAACAGAAAAGAGTTATCAAACATATTTATGTTTCTATTTTTTTTTCCCTTAAAAACAAGAAATAGAAATTGTTACCAAACTATACAGGTTCTAATTCTAAACAAATTAGAAACAAGAACAAAAAATCGAAAACAAGAACATTATCAAACGAACCCTAAAAAATCAAAACTTTTATTCCCAAATTTTCTACATCGTTTTAAGAATATTAAAAAAAATGAAACACACATATGACATATTTCTTAAAATTGAAAAAATAAAAGTTAAAACAAAAACTCAAAATATCTCATCCTACCAACTTTATGCTTTTTTTTTTCTTGGAATGATTATTTCATTAATGCCTTGTATGACCCAGATAGAGAAGAATATATTCTTTCTTATTAGTGTTTCAAAATTTTTGTTATATTCATGTGGCAAGTAATAATGTGCTTCAGTCAATTGGATTCAATAGGGATAGATTCTTTTCTCATCCCTCCTTTCTTTTTAAAACAAAAAAAATACTTTAAAATTATTCAAAGGGTAACCACACCACACCCACCGGGAATGGCGTAGTTGGATTGTGGTCGAATGAGGATACTCCCTCTCTGGTTGGAACTCTGAATGGCGCATACCAATTGACAAAGTCACACGACATCGATTTTGGGTTGTTGGTAAACAATAATCTAATGATATTGAAATTTTTAAAAAAATTAAGAATCAAGAATTACCTAATGCGCAAGTAGCACGTACCTAAAAATTACTCTAAATAAGATATAAAATAATCCGAGCTTGACCAGATATATCCAACCAAACCTGAGTACTTTATTCCCTAACAAAAGAGCCTAATCCAAGATCTTAATATAATATTAAATATTGGTAACCAAACTAAAACTTACCGAATAAAAAGTAACTTTTTAGCTTTGAAGATTTATAATAATTGATTGTATCTTTTTTTTTTTTTCATTCACAGAAACTAAATCAGATTCAGAAATCAACAACAAGATCATGCTTATTAATTAACCTTATAAGGCTATCTTTTAATGTAGAAAGCATTCCCTTGAAACATCTGGCAGATTTTAATTGGGTTGCACCAAAAGTGAAAGAAAGATCCCACAAACAATTTGGAAGAATAATCTCTCAAAATGATCTTGGAGAACAAATTCCAATCCTTTTTTCTCCAAACAATTGTCCTCTGTTTGAGGATAAGCTTCCAACAAACTGGTGAATTTCATAGCTCCATCCAAAACCCTATATAAACTCATCATTCTTCAACTTCTATCTCCAACCAAGCCAAAACACAAAGCTCACTAAAGCTTCATAACTTAGGTTTATCATCATCTCTGCCATGGCAGCTCGTACCGACCTCGCTAGGATCGGGTTGGAAGGCTTCACCCTCATCGATGAACACTACGCCCGACCGAGGAGGAGGCCGATTGCTCCCTGTCAGCCGCAGTCGGTGGCAGCGGTTCAGCCTCCGCGAAGGGCTGAGCCATCTCCACCGATACGTTCTGATCAATTGGCCAAAGCCCACGGTGGCATGATCATTAAAGAGTGGCCGGGGAAGCGGATCAACAAGGCTCTTTGACCTTGTTGCAGTATACTATAAAATACCAAACAATACTGTAACAAAGAAATAGGGCGATGTCTTAACAACTGAGTTATGTATTCAGATGGCATCTCTTATAGCTTTTGTCGTTTTTTTTTTCTTTTTGTGGCATGTCCTAGTTTCTGTGTTTATGTGAAGCTAGCTCATGGAGAGTCCTGTAAAACTTATGGGCTCTGCTTGTAACACAAAGTTATCAGCTATATGTAATTAACTATATGTTTGGGTAGTTGCAGTTTCTTATTTTATTGATATAAAACATGTTTGAAAAAAGTAAATTAAAAGAAAAAGTTTAAATCTCATTTTTTGTCCATTCAAACTCCTAAAATTAGTTTGAGGTTACAACTAATTACCAACTTGAACTTATCCTTAATTAGAAAAAAAAAATCTCTTTTATTCAAGGTGTAAACCTACGGTACCTACCAAAAATCTATTTTAATTCTATTTCATTTAGAGAAATAATTCCCTAGCTCCTTTTGTGAGATGAATAATTACTCATCTTATTTCAATGATATGAAAATAAATAAAATAACACAATCCTACATTAAAAAAGAGGGATTACTCCTGTCAAAAGAGAACCAAACCTCGTGAATATTAATATGGTATAGAGCCCAAAATGCTCAAACGAGCAAACAGTCCAAAAATGAGATCCGACCAAGATCGATGAGCCAAAAGATGTGCTGCTCCTCTCAAGGATAAACATTTTCATTATTCAAACAAATAAAACCAATGAATAACCCATGTTCGGAACGATCTATCACGCAAAATCGAGTTTAAAACAACTTTTATTCTTTGTCCAAATAAGGGGCAGAAGATTTGAACCTTTAACCGTTAGGGAGACGAGTAACAAGTATTTTTGGTGACGGAACAATACACGATAAGTGATACAGACGGTGGATTAATGCGAATATAAAGTAGTTTGTGATATCTGGTTTGGAGAGGCAATGGGAAGCGAGTTATTCTCTGAACCGAGAGCATATATTTGGTTGAGAAGTTAGAAGAGAATTATGTGTATGAAAAACGAATAGGATCTGTTTATAGAAGAGAGTTGGTAGAGAAAAAGCAGGATTCTTCACAAACACAAATTGGCATCCCTATATTAGAGGAACATAGCCACTAATTTTAGGGCCTTTCAAGTCAACAAACATTTACAAAACACCCTCCACTGAGAACCAATTGAATTCAATACACTTTGTGCTTCCCAATTTCTTCCCCTTCAAACTTGCTATAAAATAACCAACCACAAAAAGAAGACCAACATTTTGCTTCTATTTCTCTGCTTCTAATTGGCCTCCCTTAGCTTGAAGGGGGCTTTTTATTAATCCCTACAAAACAATAACACCCAATAAACTTGTATTTCTTCTCTTTTCTGATCCCTTTTTGGTTTGTTTCCAATGACATCTCTTTCCTTTCTTCTTACCTTGCTATTACTAGCATTGGTTGCTGTCAACGCCGACCCGCCCCCGATCCCGCACACGCCGGACCCTTTTAAGAATGTCCATTTAGGGAAGGATATTAAACACCGGAACAACGAAGTTGTGTTTAATGTGCTGAATTACGGTGCCAAGGCCGATGGCAAGACGGATAGTTCTATGGTTTGTTGTTGTCGTTGTCCTCGTTGTTGTTGTTTAAGAATGTTGTTTGGGTTGTTACGGATTTGGAATGTGAATTTGGGTCTGTTTGCTTTTTTGCAGAATTTAATAAGGACATGGGTTGCAGCATGTCATTCCAAGGGAGCGGCAAGAGTTGTGATTCCTAGTGGTACTTTCTTCATCAATCAAGTTGTATTTGCAGGGCCATGTACCTGTCTGAGTCCGATCATTGTTCAGATCGACGCGGTCTTGAAAGGTGGTACCGATTTAAGCGAATTCGTCTCCGATGAATGGATATTGTTTGAGAAGATCAACGGCTTGATAGTCACTGGTAGAGGTACTTTGGATGGACAAGGTGGTTCTGTTTGGAAATACAACGACTGCGGTATGAATCCTGATTGCACGAAGCTTGCTGTTGTAAGTTGTAGATCGCCTTAATTACCGATATTTTCGACGAAAAACAGGACCCCAAAAATTCTCACTCTTTTTTTCCCCTTCTCCTAGAATTTGAAACTCAATGGCATCACTCATGGACTTGTGAAAGGCATCACTTCCACCAACAGCAAGGGGTTTCACATGTTCATCACAAATAGCCAAGGCGTTAGGGTGCGAAGAATGCACATTACGGCGCCAGAAGACAGCCCCAACACCGATGGCATACATCTCAGCCGCTCCAACAATGTGAAGATATCAAGATCGGTCATTGCCACCGGTGACGACTGCATCTCCATCGGTCGAGGATCGACGAATGTCGTCATCAACAAAGTAACCTGCGGTCCTGGACACGGTATCAGGTAACACTCAATCTTCACCTGCAAAATCAAACAGAGTTGTTTCTACCCTGCTTAATCTGTGTCCTGTTCCACCATCATACAGCATTGGCAGCCTCGGAAAGTACCAGGACGAGGAGGACGTACGCGGCGTCACAGTCAGAAACTGCACATTGCTGAGCACAGACAATGGACTGAGGATCAAAACATGGCCGGACTCACCCCCAAGTGCAGCATCAGGCATCATTTTCCAAGACATCAACATGCTGAATGTCAAGAACCCCATCCTCATAGACCAAGAGTACAGCTGCTCAACCACTTGCAAAAAGCCGGTACGTCACCTTCGCTCTCGTTCCCGTTTCCTGTTTTCCGTTTCCCGTTTCTCGTTTCCCATTTCTTTCTAACCTCGTTTCTTTCTAACAAAATGCAGCCATCACGAGTGAAGATCAGCGATGTTCATTTCATCAATGTTCAAGGATCCTCAATCTCACCAGTGGCAGTAAACTTCAAGTGCAGCAAGCAGTTCCCTTGCCAGAACATTGAGATGTTGAACATAAATCTCAAGTACACAGGCCCTCCCAAAGCCAATGCCCCGTTTATCTCCGCTTGTACAAATGCTAAAGTAGGATACAAAGGCATTCAATTCCCACCCCCTTGCAAATGAGACTCCCCACCCTCAAGTTTATGATGTGTTCTTTGTTCTTTTCTTTTTTTTGTGTTGATGAAGTTTGTAAAGTGGATTGATTCACATGCGATGCTGCAGTGGCTCAATCTAATGCACAGAATCTTTTGAGAAGCAGTGGTTTTTCTCTACTGATCAAGTAATGTGGTTTGTTATAGTGAATATGATGCAGAGAAAAACAGCAGCAAAAGCCACACTAATGAACCCAGATTCAAAGATTGTTAAACATATTAATTAACACAAATGAAAAAATAATGAATTTATAATAATAAAAAAGGTAAAAACAGGAAGAAAGTAGTGAGGATGTGGATGCCAATATAGCCCAAATTATCAGAGAAGATTTTAGATTACAGAGACTAAGAGAAAAATCATTTGGCCTTTTTAAGTTCAAATTATAGAGAGACTTATTGTTGCAAAAAGTTCTTATAATATTGCTAATCTCAGGAGAAAGCCAGAAATTCTCATAAAATTTTGATTTTTTTTTTCTTTTTAAATTTATATGAATAAACAGTTTTGGTAATGGTTTATTATTTCTGTTTTTTAACTGTGAAAAAGAAATAGAAACTTAGTAACAATTTTATTGTTACTTGTTTATTATTATTTAAAATTTTAAGCCAAAAAGTATAAGTTTTATTTGAAGATCAAAATTTCAAGTATTTATATTATTTAATACTTATTAGGGATTTTATAAGGCAAGAATATCAAAATAGTGCTGAAAAAAAAACTCAAAGGTCATTTTTTAGTTTCTCATTTCTCATTTCTGTTTATTAGTTTTATTTCTTAGAAAGATAAATATTTGATAATTAAACGGCTGAAAGATTGAATAGAGAGACAGAAAACGGAAATGCATTAAAATGACCATAAACGAAGCATTTATAACTCGACGAAGAAACTCCACATTCAGAAACTAGCTGAAACTCAAGTAATTAATGGCAGACTTACCTATTTAAATGGCCAATCCTCGCCATTTTTTTGCAGTAAGAATTTGTTCTCAGAAACCATGAAGCTTTCACCTCTTCTGATCTTCTTCTGTTTTCTTCTAGCCGTTTCCGTGTCTCTCAGTTGCGCCAGAGATTTTGAATCCGCCGCCGACGCATTGGATTTCCTTCGTTCGCCGCCGGACGCGGCGGAGCCTCCCGGAGGAGACCCATGGCAGATTCCACGTCTTTTTGATGTTACTGATTATGGAGCAGTTGCTGATGGAAAGACAGAGGCCAGTTTGGTAAATCGCTTGCTTTTATACACAAATTCCACACACACATATATATTATTTTAATTTATTTTTAAAAAGACAAATACTTACGTGTTAACAGATGAAATTTATTTATATCCTCATTCATTTTCAAAAATAAATTTATGTATGTTTTTTTTATTTCTCTACTATATTTGTCAAATATTCAGTGGCGGTGAACACTAAATAGTTACTTACTAGTCACCATTCACCTCAGTATTTTTTAAAAATATTTTTGATTGTAAGAACAATTTCTTTTGAACCATGATAGTTATATAATTTTTAAAAATATTTTCGAGATTTGTTCTTATTTTTTAAATTTTAAAAGGAAAAAAGAAAGTAGTTTTTAGAGATTTGTTCTTATTTTTTAAATTTTGACTATAAATTTAAATATGTTTTCAATGGGAGTGATAATCTTACTAAATGAAAATGTATAAAATAAGTTTTAGTTTTTAAAAATGGAAAATAAAAAAATAAAATGATAACGAAAATATTTTATCTAGCCGTAAACTCAACTCCACCAATCAAAATGTCCGTTATAAACAAAGGAATCAATACTCGCAAATCAACGGGATTAGAAAATTTTGAAATTTCGTTAAAAAGTTTAGCCTATAAATTTATATAAAAGTTAAAAAGAAAATATTTAAATCTTATTTAAGTTTCTAAATTTTCGTATTTATTACAATTCAATCCCACAACATTTTATTTCAAGGAAATGCTGAAATTTAACAAAATAATAATTTTTATCTGTCAATTTTTCGAATATCTATTTTAGTCAATATACACACTAACACATGTTAACGAAGTTATTATTTATTTGTTAAAAAAAACGGTAAGAAAAAAAATGTAACAGAGTGAAAATTTTGTTGAGGTATATAGGCATTCATGGCAGCTTGGAAGGAGGCATGCGCTCACCCGGGAAGTTCGGTGTTGTACGTACCACACGGTACATTCTTCGTCGAAGAAACTGTATTTTCCGGCCCCTGTTTCAACGACCTCTCTCCCAAAGTCCTCATTTTACGAACCTTGAGAGCTCCGACCGCCCTCGACGACACCGACGTCTGGATCCAATTCAAAAGCCTCCATCGCCTTGACATCACCGGTGGCGACGCTAACGCCACCGCCATTCTTGACGGTAAAGGAGCTGAAACCTGGTCCAATTCTGCCTGCCGCCGCAACTCCACTTGCGACATGTTCCCCATAGTAAGTATTACAATAATCATATGAAATTTAAAAGTTTTTTTTTTTTAAACACAATTTTATGTCTAATGCATGCTAAACTTTAGTAATGTCTAATAAATTTTTGAATGTTGAGTTTTATTATTATGTATTTGATAATTTCTAAAAAATATATCACTAAATCAATTAGACATTAAATTAAATTAAAATGAGTGAGATAACTTATTAGATTCAAAAATTGAAAATTTAGATAATTATGAGGCATGTAAATTATTTTATTGTTATTATTAGTGGGGTTGAGAGATTCAAACTCATATCTATTTATGAGAGATAGTGTCAATTACCGAGTTAAATTCATGTTAGCGAGACATTTAAAATTTGGAAATATATTATACACAAATTAAATTAAAAGTTTATAGACTATCGTAGGTCAATGGGTGAAGACACATATATCCAATCATGGGGTGAGAGTTCGAATGTCACGGACAATTGTCCTCACGCTCCCTTCTATTATTATTTTTTTTTAAATAAAAACACCAAAATTTAACATTTTCTTTTCTCCAAATTTGGTGGGGATGAGTCTTTGAAGCTGAGCGATGTGTCATATGGAAATGTAAGCAATATTAGGGTTATGGACAGCAAAGGTTTCCATGTCGCTGTTCATGATTGTGACAATATTCATCTCTCTGGGTTGAATATTAGAGCTCCTTCGGATAGCCAGAACACTGGATGGATGTTAGTCACTCTACCAACATCAACATTACTTCCTCCAACATCGGCGTCGGCGACGGTTGTGTTTCCATCGGACCCGGCAGCGTCAACGTGTTCGTTTACGACGTTAATTGTGGTCCTGGACACGGAATTAGGTATCATATCTACTCTCTACTCTCTAATTTCTTTGTGTGTTATTTTGTAGAAGTATATGAAAATGATAGAATCTGGAACAAGTAGTGTTTTGAGTATTTGGAATAAGGAAAAAATACTTGTGAGGACAAGATTCCAGCTCCTTACCGGTGAGGGGTTAAGTATTTTCGTTAAAATTATGATCTGTGTCTTGTCCACCATCATGACAGCGTTGGCAGCCTCGGGAAGTACCCCGATGAGGAGGACGTGCGGGGCGTCACCGTAAAAAACTGCACATTGCTGGAAACAGACAATGGAGTGAGGATCAAAACATGGCCAGACTCACCCCCAAGTGCAGCATCAGGCATCATTTTCCAAGACATCAACATGCTGAATGTCAAGAACCTCATCCTCATAGACCAAGAGTACAGCTGCTCAACCACTTGCAAGGAGCCGGTTCGTCGTCTTCGTTCTCTCGTTTTCGTTTCCTGTTTCTCGTTTCCCATTTCTTTCTAACCTCGTTTCTTTCCAACAAAATGCAGCCATCCCGAGTGAAGATCAGCGACGTTCATTTCATCAACGTCCAAGGATCCTCAATCTCACCGGTGGCAGTAAACTTGAAGTGCAGCAAGCAGTTCCCTTGCCAGAACATTGAGATGTCGAACATAAATCTCACGTACACAGGCCCTTCTGAAGCCAACGCGCCGTTCATCTCCCATTGTACGAATGCTAAAGTAGGCTACAAAGGCATTCAATTCCCACCCCCTTGCAAATCAGACTCCCAACCCTCAAGTTTATGATGTGTTCTTTGTTCTTTTCTTTTTTTTGTGTTGATGAAGTTTGTAAAGTGGATTGATTCACATGCGATGCTGCAGTGGC